CCAGCACCACTTGTTAAAGAGATTGTCTTCTCTCCATTGTATATTCTTGTCTCCTTTGTCAAAGATAAGGTGTCCACAGGTTCATGGATTTATCTCTGGGTTTTCTATTTTGTTCCCACTCTTTCTTTAGATCCTATTTCCACATAGCTCATTGCAGAGTACTGAGTAGAGTTCCCTGTGATATACAGAAGGTCCTTGTTAGTTATCTATTTTATATACAATGATGTGTATCTATAAATCCCAATCTCCCAATATTCCTCCCCCACCCTTTCCCCCTTGGCAACCATAAGTTTGTTCTACATCTGTAACTCTATTTCTGTTTTGTAGATTAGTTCATTTGTAGCCCTTTTTTAGATTCCAACTATGAGTGATATCATATGATATTTGTCTGACTTACATAGTATGATAATCTTTAGGTCCATCCATGTGGCTGCAAGTGACATTGCTTCATTCTTTTTTATGGCTGAGTAATACTTCATTGTGGGCTTCCCTGGGTGGCTCAGTGGTAAAGAATCTGCCTGTCAATGCAGGAGATGAAAGTTAGATCCGTAGGTTAGGAAGATCCCCTGGAGAAGGAAATGGCAACCCACTCCAGTATTCCTGCCTGGAAAATCCCATGAACAGAGGAGTCTGGTGGGCTACAGACCATGGGGTCACAAACAGTCAGACACTGCTCAGTGACTGAACACACACACAATATTCTTATGTATATACATACCACATTTTCTTATTCATTCTTAAATTAGCAGACTTCTAGATTGCTTCCATGTCTTGACCATTGTAAATAGTGCTGCAGTGAATAATGGGGTGCATGCCTATTTCCAATTAAGGTTTTCTCCAGATATATGGGCAAAAATCTTAATAAAATTACTAGATGAGTAAGAAACTTTCGAGTATTTGAGTTCTGGTTAGGACATGTTACTGGTATTTAGGGTTTTCCCTCCTTTCTCCCACTGCAAGGCAGTCAAGCCTAACTTTCTGCATGTGCTTCAAAGAAATGAATTTGAGCTGACAATTTACTTCTCTCCTTCCACATGCTGCTTCCTCCATGCTGCTGTCAGGGGCAACTCGTAGAAGCACTCACTTCCTCCAACCACTGAGCCTTCTCAGTCTTTGCCAGACAGTTTTCCTTTAGCATGGGTAGTTCTGCAAGTCTGTCTCTTCCATGGAGCTGCCAAATGACTGGTTTGCCATCCTTTGCCTCCAAAATGCTTCCCCTGTCCAGCCATAGCTTCCCACCTCCACTGGCATCACCCCAGGGCAAATCTGTATGTTTCCTTGAATCCTGTGTGCCCGCCTCCTCACTGTTCCCCCTGCTTCCTGCCTTAGCTCCTACAACCCAGGCTCCACATGACAGGTGGAATGAGCTTTCAAATAGTAAATTAGATTACACCCATAATCAGTGTGCTGATAAATGTCTGCTGGGAGGGAGTATCTTTGTATCTGTTATACAGTTTTACTGATACAAAGAATGCATAGCATACAGTTTACCAAAAAATAATAAAATACACTTTTTACAATAAATTCTATATAGCCCATTGATTTTCAAATTGGTTTCAATGGTTTTTGCCAAACTCTTGTACCCATAGTCAGCCTACAGCTGCAATTATGTTTGGCAAAAGCAGATCATATTTGGTTAATATTCAACTCAGCAAAGAAGTCACTCATGCCACTGAGTTCAAATGGAATGTTGATGATTTTTTTTTTTACATTAATGAGCAAGATGAAAGTGAAACAACAAAGATGTATGTTTGGACTACACTTTGGCAATAATGTGAGTGCTTCTCTATTGATCAGATAGTAGTTTTCAAGTACTGGAAAAATATTTCATCAATTTTTTGTGTTATTCATGATGAACACATATTGAAGTTCAATCTTTTTTGCTAAATTTTCTTCTATCACTTTCTTAAGTTTAGACAATCAACACAATAAATCAAGCTCTGGTTTGCAGTGTTTTCCAATTTCTATAGCGTACATACTCCATCACAATTGATTTCAAACTACTGAAATAACATTTCTGAATGTAAAGTTGGGAAGAGATGTTGTATCACACCATTATATGGGATATGCATTATAAAGAATGGACTGAAACAACTTTAAAGCATAGATAATGATAAAGCAATTAAGAAGTGAAGTTTTGAGCATTTATTACCTTGTTTTTTTAAGTATTTTGTTTAATTGTAAGTTTCTAAATGGTCTAGTTTTGAATCTTGGCCATGATGAACAACTGACTTACAGAATTCCTGAAAACTTAGCAATCAGCTCCCCAAGCAGGTGCACCTGGCTCCAGCACTCATGAGTTGCCACTCCTCTGAGATTGCACTATCTGGGAAAGGAGTGAAGAGAGGCAATGATGACAGTCAATAAAATTAATAATTACTTTTGTTGTGATGAACTAACAATGAAAAATTATACACACCCCTCCTTGTTTTCCCAAGCTTAATGTTTAAAAACTCCTTTTGTACACACCATCCTGTTTGACTTACAGACTCCTGTGAGGTAGGGGGTAGATATCACCCTTCTTTTATGAATAGAAAAACAAGGCTGAGAAGAAGTGAATGACTGGCTGCTGATGATTCAGTTAAGTAAAGGACAGAACCATATTTCAAAGTCAGGTCTCATATTGACAAACAAGAGGCTAGAGAAAATTAATTATATTGACATCAGATTTAAAAGTTGTAACAAATGTCCTTTTTAACACTTAAGAGTCTGTTATAAAGTACATTCATGTCTTGTTAAGGGACCCCTATACCAAAGATGTTTTGATCTTTTAACTCCACTATTTCTAACAAAGCCCCACGTGACCTAATAAATAAACAAGGTGTAAGCACCAAAATGGAAGTATAAGTTTTTGAAAATGAGCTGACAGGTCCCACCTAGAAATGGAACCGATTGAGACAATCTCTACTAAAGGCACGTGGAATAGAAAACGAGATTAAATCAGAAAGAGGAAGAAAGCTAATGACATAATGGCCAGCCACAAATGCCACAGATGAAAAACAAGGTACATAGTACTTGTTACAGGTATTCAGTGTGCTTGCTCTAATGTCTGCAAACACTAAAAACATTAGGCTCCTGCTCACTGCAACATTTATCTCATTTATCTGCTGATATTTACCTCCTCTTTGAATCAGGTATTGCTTAAACTAAGTTCTGCAGCATAAAGAATACAGACTTAATAGGACACCCATAAGCATATCATGCATATGAGTATAAATTGTGATATTTTAGGTAGCTTATGATGAAACCATTGAAAGCATCATGAGAATCAGCAAAACACCAGGGATGCCAGTAAGAAGTTAGCATTTCCCAGTTCATGTGGGAATGTTAATTCCAATTACAAAAAGAAATACCAAAATGGAATTCATTATGATTAAGAACTTGCTGTCCTAAATGTGCATTGTTTATAAAAAGCATGTCTGGTGTAAAATGCAAATATTGAAGCAAAGAAAGATGGGGCTTTTGGAACTCAGCTGGGTTCTGTTGAAATTCTGACCTTACAAAGTTAAACAAGAACAAAATTGTTTCCTAAAGACAGGATACTGTTTTAAAGAGGCATCTAATACCTATGGTAGCTGTAGAAGTAATCTTTTTAAATAAGTTCCAACAACTCATGAAATCTGCTTTTGCTGGCTTAATGTAAAATTAACATATTCAGTGAACTGCCATACTCCAAATTAATACATATGAAAATGATAAAAATTTATTGATTCTAATTTACATTTAATGTCATAGATTTAAAGTGAGGTGGGGGGATAAAAGGATAGAATAACCAGAAAGTACAGCCATGACAAGGAATCATGGGCTGTAGGAAAATAAGTTACAAAGAGGTCTCTTTATGTAAAAGGAAATACATGTGGTAAACAATGGTAAAGGTAGAAATGAATGTGGTATGTACATTGTGCTCTTTTTTCATCAGGCTCTCTCTTAACTAAAACTACTAAAGGCATTCATATCAACTAATCCAGGTTCTCCATTTTCCCTGGAAACATACTGATTAATGCAGGACAGGCTGAACACTGGGGCCATGGTTACTTCCTATGCTCCACATATTGCTGTTTCTACCAGTTATGCTCTCCAGCAGTTCCTGTCAGTTTTTCCCCCAAAATTATGTTTATTCCATTTGCATTGTTCTAGTAATTACTTGATTTAATTAAATTTTAAGTAAAATGATGAAACATAAGTAATGAAACTTTTTGGTTTATAAAATCTAAATGGAAAAACACCCTATAAATAATTGCTGTCAAACTGGGTGAATGTAAGACTGCTTTAAAAGACTGGGGTGAGGACAGAGAGAATGACTCATAAAATTTAGAAATCTATACTCATATTATTTTTAAGTATTTTTAATTTCTTGCTCTACTTTAAAGAAAACTGGAAAAATAGTAATACCACATATTAATAATAACTGCTAATGATGACTGAACATTTAATATACCCCAAGAATTAGTCGAAGCACTTCAAATATATCACATTTGTTTAATCTTTATCATCATTTGAATTAGTACTATTATCATAATATCTTACGGAAAAACCCAAGTGAATTTTTTGGCCAACCCAATATCATCCCCATTTACAGATAATAGAAACTGAGGCACAGAGAGTTAGGTTGCCCAAGGTTACATTATCCATAGAGGTGGAGGCCAGCCAGCCAGTCTGGCTTTTAACAGCTATGCTGATGCAACGCAGGTGTAGTTTATACATGAATGAAAACACAAAATGCCAGTCACTGGACTCTCAAAAGCTTTAGACCCTCATCAAAGGATTAACAACTAAATATTGCCATAAATTCTAGGTTTTAAAGCTTCAAATTTACAACTATAATTTTTATTATTCCCTTGCTTTAACTGACTTTATTTTAATACGAGTACGATCACATTGGTGACAGTTTTGCCTTCTACAAGGGTGAAAGTCATAGTCTTAAATACTAACCAGAATGAGAGTTGAGGTCTATATACACTGGAATAGGGATTTATTGTAGATACTTAAGCAGGAGTGTGACAGGATTTAATTGATGATTTGGAGGAGCAATCTGCCAGTGAGGCCTGGATTTTTTTCTTTTTTTTTTAATTGGCATATAATTGCTTTACAGTGTTAATTTCTGCTGTACAATGAAGTGAATAGGCTAAATGTGTACATATATCCCTCCCTCTTAGATCTCCTTCCCACCTCCATCCCCCATCCCACTGGGCATCCAGGTCATCACAGAGCACCAAGTTGAGCTTCCTATGCTTTATATACAGCAGGTTCCAATTAGCTATCTAAAATGATACAACAGATGAACAGAATTGAAGAATTCACTCTGATAATATATCAATTGCTGTATAAATGTAAAAAAGTGGTTTAGTTACTATTCAGGTTTAAGGTTTTATTGATCTTAGGATATAGTCTCAGACCCATTCCATTTCTTCCTTTCTTCCCTCATTTACTTATTTATTTAACAGACAGCCACTGGGTACCTACTATGTACTAGTGATACAGATGGAGAAGGCAATGGCACCCCACTCCAGTACTCTTGCCTGGAAAATCCCATGGATGGAGGAGCCTAGCAGGCTACAGTCCATGGGGTCACAAAGATTTGGATATGACTGAGCAACTTCGCTTTCACTTTTCCTTTTCATGCATTGGAGGAGGAAATAGCAACCTACTCCAGCATTCTTGCCTGGAGAACGCTAGGGACAGGGAAGCCTGGTGGGCTGCCATCTATGGGGTTGCACAGAGTCAGACATGACTGAAGTGACTTAGCAGCAGCAGCAGCAGTGATACAGTGATAAAAAAGACAGACACAGGCTCTGCCATCACAGAGCTTTTTAAAAATTTTTTAATATTTATTTGGCTGTGCTGGATCTTAGTTGCAGCATGTGGGATCTGGTTTCTTGACCAGGGATTGAACCCAGGCCCCTTTGCACTGGGAGCCTAGAGTCCTAGCCACTGGACTACCAGGGAAGTCCCAGAGTGGTTTATATTCTAGAGGGGGAGACAGAAATTTAACAAATGAATCCAGAAGTAGCAAACTATCACTGTAATGTGCTACCAAGGTAAAGTACAGGACACTATAGGAACAAACAGTAATGGGTCTTTGTTGTTTTTTAAATTTTTTTAGGAAGGAGTACTCAGGTGTTTAAACATAAGTCAATTAAAATGAAGATCTTGAGTGATATTTGGACACATTTCATTAACTCATTTGGCCTCCACAACAATGTAGCAATGCAGTAAAACTGATATTATGTCTAGTTACCCAATGTTTGATTGTGACTATGTACTGGACTATATTCTAGGAGTGTAACATACAGCAATGAACAAGACAGAAAAGGTCCTTGCCTTGTTGCAGTTTGGATGTATCACCTCATTGCCACCTTTACTTCTGAGACAATCAAATATATTCCCCCTTAGATAGGGATTCATCCTATTTCTTCTTTTTTGGTAATTATAACTTCCCAGGGTTACAGATTAATAATTTTTTATCTACTAGTAATTTTTCATATTTAAAGATAAGATCATATATATATGAAACACTTTCAGTGGTGCCTGGTTAGATAGAAGTTCAGTAACTGTTAATTACTGTTTAGAATTGCTGTTATTATTACAATGCTTAATCTCATGTCCTTTCTGGTACACAGGATTTCATTTCTTGAATTAAATTCCATACACGTTTATTGTAGGCATATCACAGGATTTGCAAACTCTTTTGTGGAAATTACAAGATAAGTGAAGAAAAATCTCTTTAATATTGTCTATTTCTACCTTCCATGCTTAGCTATGTGATCTTGGATAAACCTCAAGCTCTGTAAGCCTTGGGTTCCTCATGTTAAATATATAGATAGATATATACCTATCTATTCAGCTGTTGTCAGCAGAAGTGGACAGCAGACTGTGTGTGTGTGTCGGGGGGTGGGTGTTGGGGGAATCAATAAATGTTAGCCACAAAGCATAACAATTCTAATACTCTAAAAAGCAGACACTGGGATAATCTAAAGTTTATGCATGCTTTCCGATAAACATGAAAGACTAAATAATGAGAGGTTTCCCATCAAATTAAAAAATTAACAGGCATATTTAGACCACTGAAAAGAAACAAATCAGGAAAATTTAACACTTTTGCTCCACTGAAAGTGTTTTCAATGGTGATTGTTAATTTGAAACAAGGAGTCCTCTCCCTCTTTAAAGTGATTCACTAGACCTGCAAGAAAAAAAAAAAAATGAGATGGGAGAGTTAATTGGGAACGCTTGTAAAAGCAGATGTTATACAAATGCAGGGTGCCAACCACCTGCAATATGAACAGGTAAGAGGGATGAGGTGTTTGTTTTTTAAGAGCAGAGGTTCAACTATGAAACAGGGTTATGGTATGGGAAAAGAAACTTGATTAGATAAGTTAGGGTCCCCTTACATATGTGTTTTGTTGTTTAGTTGCTAAGTCGTTTGGGATTCTTTTTGCAACCCCGGGACTGTAGCCCACTAGGCTCACCTGTCCATGGGGTTTCCAAGGCAAGAATACAGGGGTGGGTAGCCATTTCCTTCTCCTGGGTGTTTTCCCCACCCAGGAAGTGAACCTGCATCTCCCACATTGGTAGGCAGACTCTACCACTGAGCCACCAGTAAAGTCTGCCCCCCCCCCCTTATATATGTATATGCTTAAATACTTAAATAATTCCTAATATGACTTCTAAGCAGATGTACAAGGATATTCATTTCAGTGCAAGTTATTTAACTCACTTTTGAAACATAGTAAGGTAACACTGTAGGTTTGGGTCTTGACTTTCTTTCCATGAAGCTGTTGGTTGTTTAGGGACCCATTGGGTAAAGACATGTGATTCTAGTATTTGAACTTGGAAGGTAAGAAACCTGGGAAGTAGGCAAAGCAGCATTCTTGGAGTCAATTCTCACTTAGAGGCCACCGTGAGCACCCAAGACAAGGGCTTCCCTCCCGTTGACTACTGCCAAGGAAAAGAAAAGTCATTTCTTCTGGATCAGAAGAAATGTTGCTAACAGAAGGGGTTTTGTTAGCAACTGGCTTGCTCAGTGCCCTTCATAAAAATTCTCCTAGCTGAAGGTTCTACGCTGGCAAAGGTCTTGGTTCCCTTCTTTCCTCCGGCGGTGAGCGTCTTTTCCTTTGCCAAGATGGTGGCCCTGGCATCATCTGGAGGCGGCCAGTACAGATCGCCTCCGGACAGGTGGCTTGCTAATAGCCTAGTTCTCCCCTGTCATCCTCGGACAACACACGCGGCAGCGTCCACCACCTCAGAACCAAGGATGAGCGACTTGGGCTGCCGGGTAACGAGAACCTTGGCCAAGATGGTGGACGCGCAGCCAGGCGGCGTCAGCTGCCTTTACCAAGATGGCGGCGGGCGGCTTCCGGCACGCGCTTACCCAATCCTCTGCAAATGTCAGGGCAGAGGAGCCGCTGCCAGTCTGGGTGCAGCCGGGGGAAAAGTAGCTGCAGCCGAGCGCCCGGGCAGGGCTAGGTGGAGCTGCCGCAGCCTCCGCCCCCGGCGGCAGCAGCAGGCAAGCGATGTCACCTGTAGGGGCGCAAAAGTTACCTCCCCAAACCCTAAAGCAACATAAACACAACCTTTCCCCGAGTCACACAAATGGTAGTATGTGCCGCCCAAGGTAGGAGGCTCGACCCAGGCGTCGCCGTAGCCATCCCTAAGCGGCGAGCTTGGGGAGGGGGCGGGGGCTGGGGCGTGGGCCTCCCGCGCCGACTCCCCTCGCCCCACGCCCCTCTCTTTGGGGACAAGCCACGTGTTTCCCTCGGATGGAGGGGGAGGTGCGTAACGGGAACAGCTGGAAGGAGTTTAACGCTGACATTTTAAAGCTGCGTGTGTTCAATTTTATTTGGAGGGATTGGGGTCCCATGAACACGAAATAGTGAGCAACGCACTGAGGCGAGTGCAGCAAATGTCAAGATTCCGGGGAAGGGCCTCCGCGGGAAACTTGGACGTGGGCCCCCGAGGCGGGTGGAAGGAGAGGTCAGGAGTTGGGGGTGGCGGGGGAGGAGGGCGTACTTTGCAAGCAACTTACTATTTCGCTTGCAACTTGCTTTTAGGCTTGCCACCTCCTGCTTTCCTTAAAAATAATAAAAAGTGCAAAGAAATCTAGTTCGCCGGAGGTTTTGCATTTGGCGTGCAACTTCCTTCAAGTGTGAGCGCGCTAGGACGGAGGGAGGGATGGGGGTTGAACTTGGCAGGCGGTGCCTCCTTCTGCCGCCGCCGCCGCCTCACAGACTCGGAGAAGAGGGTGGGGGACGGTCGCGGCGCGGGGGAGGGTGGGTTCTGCTTTGCAACTTCACTCTGGGTGCAAGCGTGCTCGGCGGGTGCAGACTGGGCCGCGCAGACGATGCGGGGGTGGGGGACCGGCCGGCACGCGACTCCCCGTGGGCCAAGAGTACGTATGAGCCGACCCCCTTCCCTGCCCGCCCCTCCCTGAAGCCTCCCCAGAGGGCGTGTCTGGCTGTCGGGTCCCGCGAGCGGCCGAGACGCTGCGGCACCGTTTCCGTGCAACCCCGTAGCCCCGTTCGAAGTGACACACTTCGCTCAACTCGACCCGGGGGCGGAGGCGCGGACCGGCCCCGCGGCTCTGCTGCGGCCGCGCCCCGGCTCCCCCAGCCAGCCCGCTGTCATCCGCAGGGGCGCTGACGGCGTTTACCGCCGGAGGACCGAGCGAGCTCCGGAGTGGATCCGGAGTCGCGGAGTTGGGCGGGGGCGGGAAGGAGCAGAAGAAGAGAAACTAGAGAGAAAACTCGGCTTCCCTCCGAAGCCTGCCCCAGAAAGGCCAGGTCGGCCCCGCCGGCGCCTCCTCTCCTTTTGCCTGGGGGTTGGAGAGGTGGGGGGCGAGGAGGAGGCCTGGGCGGGAGCCGCGCCGGGGGGCCGCGGGCGGGCAGGCGCCGTCGCGGCCGGGGTGGCGGGGCCCGCGCGGAGGGCGTGGGGGCGGGGGCCGCGGCCGCTCCTGCAGTTGCCGAGCGTCGCCAACAGGTTGCACCGTTCCCCGCGCCACCGCGCGGCCCCTCAGGCGGGGAGCGGCCGGGGGTGGAGTGGGAGCGTGCGCGCGCGCGTGTGTGTGTGAGTGTATGTGTGCGCGCCGTGGCGCCGCCTCCGCCCGCCCCCCTCTCGGTCCCGTTCGTTCGCCGCGGCCGGGCGGCCCTTTCGCGTGTCCGCGCTGCCTCCCCTCCTCCTCCTCCTCCATTTTGCGAGCTCGAGTCTGTGACGGGAGCCCGAGTCACCGCCCGCCCGTCGGGGACGGATTCTAGTGGGTGGAAAGAGACGCCGCAGCCGGAGCGGCGGAGCGCCGGCCCGGAGGACGCGCGCCCGAGAGCCCCAGCCCGCGAAGACGTGCGCGGGGCGGGGGTCTGGCTTGTCAGCCGGGAAATGGGAGACTTTCTCAAATAGGGGCTCTCCCCTCCCCCTCATGGAGAAGGGGGCAGCTGTTTACTTCCTTTTTTTTAGAGAAAAAAATCTCTCCCTCCTGCTGCTCCTGCTTTCACACGCTAAGTTGTTTATCTCGGCTGCGGTGGGAGCCGCGGACGGTGGCGGGTGAGCGGCGCAGCCGGCAGAGGTAAGGGGAGGGCCGGGGGCCGGGGCCCGGGCGGGCGTTTGCTCCCCGAGGTGCGGGCCGGGGCCTGGAGGCTGGCTCGGGGGCGCCGCGGTAGCTCGCAAACTTTTATTAGCCTCGGGGAGTGGGGGTGGGGGCTGACGGGGGCCGGGTGGCGGTGACGAAAGGGCAGCGCGCGGGTGACAGCGCTGGCCTCTTCCTCTCGCTGGGCCGCCGTCCCTCGGACGGGCCGAGGGGGAGGAACCCGAGCTCTCTGCGAGTGGAGGCTCGTCGAGCCGCCCCAGGTTTCCAGGCTCTCGCTCTCGTCCCCTGCAAGGAATCCTGGTTGGGTTTTTTTTCCCCTCTTTCCTAGTCCCTTTTCTTTTCCCTCCCAGGGGGCCTCCATGACACTCATTTTTCTGGTGAACGTTGAGCGGCGTCTGAATTCTCGCCTGAATCTTTCCCCTCCACCCTGGTGCGCCCGAGCGCGAGCAGGGTTTGTGTCGGGGCTCCAGTGCGTCTCCTTTCTGGCGGGCGCGCAGTGTGTGTGTGTGTGTGTGTGCGCGCGCGCGCGCGCGTACACGCAGGGGGCTGACAGTCTGCGACTTGGAGACTTCGGCCAGGGCTGGCGTTATCTGGTGGAAGTGGGCGTGTCGGAGAAAGAACTCAACAGGTCTGGACACATTTCTCTCTTAACCTCGCACTTTTTTCCCTCTCCCCTCCCTCGGCCCCGGGTTTGTTCTTTAGCGCTGGGCATCACTTCGCGCCTGAAGGTTTGAAGTAGCCCCTTTTAGAAAAAAGACCCTCGCTAACCATAATAGTTTTGAGGTGCAGTTTTTGACAAGCGCTAGTTTGACGTTTTGAGATTGCAGACTCGACAATTGCAGCCTTGTAATGCCGCTTAAGACCCCTTGGCATGGTTCGTTAAGGCCGATTACTGTGACGGGGTTATTCGCAACTTGAACGGGGGGATAAAGTCGTTTGAGGTATCTTTTCGTTTTATGAAGTTTTGTTTTGGTTTCGAGTTTGAAGGCAGCTGTCAAAGCGGCGTGGAAATTCATTAGGCTCCATTTGATACCTTGTGTTTAGAGATGGTTATCAGATAAATACAGCAGAGGGGCGGGGAGAAAAGCAGTTTACTCTTGAGATTTATAGAGGCGGGTATCCACCTCTGCCTGCCTTCATCACATTCCACTTTTAGAGAGGACCAGTGAAGTTTGAGCATCTTAAAGTCTCCGTACAGGAAAGTTTTCTTTCTTTGAACGGGATTTGACTATAATGTCGCAAATAATGCTTATGGAAGAATACCTGCCTCTTAAAAGATCTGGATTGTCAATAACCTATCAACCTAACCCTCTTGAAAGAAGGCTCAGAATTAGGATAGGTTAAGCTTTAGAATGCGGAGCAAATTTTTTGAGCATTTTACTTGGATTTATATGAATGTGATTTTACAGGTCTGGGGTGGTTTTTGGTTTTGTTTGTTTTTTCTGTATTTAGATATTCAGAACGGAAAAAATTTAATTTAGAGATTATAGTAATATTTCATACTGAGGTCTTAAGCGGTTTAAAAACATGTAGTTTCAACAATAGATTCTATTGTGTTGTAAGGGTTTGAGAGAGCTATAGTTCTTGTACAGTATTTAAATAAGCTAAAATTGTAGTGTGAAGCTACTACACATTCTGCTTTTTTAAATCTAAATTTTGATTAGTCTGTGTACAGTGTCTGTCATTTCATATGTCCAAAATTTGAAGGCAGGCACTATTAGGCACATTCAGTAGGAAATATGGGTTAAAATAAGAGCCTTTTCCTACTCTATTGGAAGATGAGCAGACCATCATTGTTTATTTTTCAAATAAAATACATGGTTCACCAGTAGGTTGTACTAAAAGGTTTAGATGTGTGACCAGCTAGTAGGAGGGGAATTGAGGAGTAATTAGAAACAGAGAATTCTAGCATAGTGTTTATCAAATTGTACGTTTATTGGTTCTCAGAAAAGCTGATAACCTTGATTAGTTGAAAAGAAATGATGATACTTCCTTTTTTAAAATTAAATACTTTGACATCAGCTGGAACCTTTAGAATAATCAGATGTCATGAATTGTAATGTCTCTGATTAACACAGTTACCGATTTGTGAGTGGCAGGATGACTCGCCAGGCTTCGTTTGATACAATATTGTTCAGAGCTGGACAAATGCACCGCATTTGCATTGTACTTTTAAATGCGGTAGACTGAATGGGAGAGGAGCCTCTGCTTTTGTATTCTGGAAGCAGAACCTATCTACTATTTTGATAACAGGAATTAGATTGGGTGTTAACTAAAAGGTTCATTTAACAGGCTCTTACTAATCGGATCACAGAGACAATGTGATTTTGTAGCTTGTTATGTCCCCTTCTTTTTTGTAGCTGACACTCACTGATGGACCCCAAGGAGCCGTTAAGCGCCCCCAGTAGAGAAGAAATCCCCAGCAGTGCGCTTGGTCGAGAGAGGGGAAATGTGATGGACTTCTATAAAACCCTGAGGGGAGGAGCTCCTCTGAAGGTTTCTGCGTCTTCGCCCTCACTGGCTGCTGCTTCTCAGTCAGACTCCAAGCAGCAAAGGCTTCTGGTTGATTTTCCAAAAGGCTCAGGAAGCAATGCGCCGCAGCCCGATCTATCCAAGGCAGTTTCACTGTCAATGGGACTGTACATGGGAGAGACAGAGACAAAAGTGATGGGAAATGACCTGGGATTCCCACAACAGGGCCAAATCAGCCTTTCCTCTGGGGAAACAGACTTTCGGCTTCT